CCCCAAAGAGTAGTGAGCTTCCCCCCACCCACCGACCCCCCTCCTCCATCCAGATAACTTCTATCTCCGAAGCCTCCCGTCCCAGCCGCCCCTCCTCTCGGCCAATCATAGCTTCCCGCCCATCTCGCGGACCGCGCCGGGACACCCCTTGGGCTCCTGCAGCAGGGAGCGGGACCCGGGGGGTGGGGGTGGGGGCGGCCCCCAGAAGAGCTTGAAGGAGGGGGTGCCAGCAGAGCGTGGGGGCCTGCTGAGCACGAAGGACAGGGACCGGTCAGGCGGTAAGCAGGAGGCGAAGGACAGGCTGTCACAAGGCCTGCAGCTGCCCGCGCAGCCGCCCCTCCAGCACCACCCGCAGCACCACCCCCACCCACCGCACCTCCAGCACCCCACGTCCCTAGAGGAGGACAGCAGCCGGCATAAGGAGGACGGCCTCCCCAGGGCCAAGCAGCTCAGCGCCTGCCTGCTGGGCGCCAAGATGCACAACGGGGATGTGGGGGCCTGTGCCACGGGCCCCCTGTCCAGCTGTGGGGGGGCCCAAGGTCGGCAGGGGGCCACCGGGGAGAGGAGGGAGCTGCCCGACTGCCTGGAAAGGGGTCAGGTGCTGCACCACGCCATGCCCTACTCCATGGCGCCCCCTCTGGCTGGGGGGGGCAACACAGGAGGCTTCCACTGCCTGCCGCTGCATCCCAGTCACCCCCACCATCCGCATCACCCTCACCACCACCATCACCACCACCAGGAGTTCTACTGCCCACCCCTGCCTGCCCCACACGTACACAACAAGGGACACGCCGGCGACGGTGGCCACGAGCTCAAGGTGACGGGCCCCACCTTTGTGCCATCTGTGGGGCACCTGGGCGACAAGGGCGGGGGGCCGTTCCAGCTTGGGAACCCCGGGTGCCGGGGGGTAGGCGGCGGCAGCGTAGGCGCCAAAGACAAGGTGGCAGAGAAGGGTGGGGCCAGTACTGGGGGTGGGGCACTGAGTAGCTGTCAGAGGAAACAACAGCAGCAACAGCATACGTACGAGAAGGCTGACAAGGCACCGGATTGGCTGCAGAACCAGCACCATCACATCCTGCAGCAGGCCCAGCTCCCAGGCCGCGGCCGAGGCGGGGACTGCGTCAATGGCGCTGACGTGGACGTCTTCCGGCCCTCCCTCCCCCAGGGGGCCAAGGGCGGCCCCTCAAGCAAGAGCGGGCCCTACATCGGCACCCCCCCCTACCGTGACTGCTCCCATTCAAGCTCCACCCAACCCACCCGGCCCCAGGAAGGAAAGGGCAGCGGGGGGGCCGGGTGCACGTCTCGGGATAGCCAGAAGGTGGCGCGCATCCGGCATCAGCAGCACGCCCGACCCGACCTGGGTCCGGACGGGCCGGAAGCCAAGCGGAAGCCGGACATGGCGTCCTTCGCTTATGGAGCACAGCCGCCTCCCCCTCTGCCGCCGCTGCCGGCGTGGCCTGTGCGCTCCCTCTGCATCCCGGCGGAGGAGGAACAGCGGAAGGGCTACAGGGACCCCTTCGGCAGGGGGGCGCTGCGGCAGGCGGAGCAGCATCTGGGGATGGCCCCCCCAGAGACGCAGGGGCCGGAGGGGGAGGACAGTGCCATGAAGAGTCTGTTGCAATACAGCAGCCAGCAGCAACCCCTCCTGCTGGCGCACAAGAGCCCTTTTGGTGGCCTCGGCTGCCTCCAGTCTGCCCCGGGGTGTGTGGCTGAGGGCGGGGCCCGTTTCAGCGGGGGCGGGGCCCGGAGCAGTGGGGGTGGGGCCAGCTGCGTCCTGCAGGAGGCAAAGCAGATGCTGCCACCCAGGAAGGGTCCACCTGCTGACAGCGACCGGACTGACTGCGGCGGCGGGGGCGGGATCAGAACTGGCCGGGAGCCTGGGGAAGCCCCGCCCACCACCGGGGAAGGGGAGGTGCGGCAGCCGCCGGTGGGCATCGCGGTCGCTGTGGCGAGGCAGAGAGAGCCGCCATCCTGCCAGCCCTTGGATGGTCATCCGGGAAATGCTCGTCAGGGCAGGGTGATGCCCGGGATGAAAGGTAACTCCCGTGCGTCTGCCAGGGCGGGTGCATGCGGTGGGGGGTCAAGTGGCTTTCCGGCCTCTAGCCACTAGAGGACCTTGATGTTGAACTGTAAACAGCCTGGCCCTGTTAGGCTCCAGTGCTGAGGGGGGGGTGGGGGGCGGGGGTTGTTTTTTATAAACAGTCAGGAGAGGACAGGAAGATACCCTGGTAGGTGGCAAGATGGATAAATATGCAGGAATGCTGTGGGACGGCATTGGGATCCCCCCCGCCCCCCACACCCGGCCTGCTGTCAGGTGCGGAGGCCTGACCCTGAGCTGCCACTGCCGTTGTCCCCAGGCCTGCCGAGGCCGGTGTTCCCGCTGGACCGGGATGCAGAAGAGGAGCGGAAGCGGATGTGTGAGGAGCCGCTGGGCCTGGCCGGCCTGGACCGTGAGCGGGGGGTGCTCCTCAGGTGAGCTGCTCGCCCCCCTCCCCTCATTATCACCATAGTGACCTGTATCATCACTTCAGCTGCATGTGACCCCCCCCACCCGCCCCTCCAGGGACAACAAAGAACGGGTCGAGTTTGCCAGGATCCACCCCTCCAGCAGTTGCCATGGCGACCTCACCTCCCACCTCATGGTGCCGAGCGGGACCTCTTTACAGGCCAGCCAATTAGGGGCCGACCCTACTGCACACGCCCACCCTCCTCATCACCATTGGATGCCACGGACGGGAAGTCCATCCTTATGGATGACGGGACATTCTTATGGTGCGTAGAGCAATAACCTTTCAGTCTGGATGTCCCACCGTAAATATACTGCAATTGCATCTAAACCATGTTTGCATTTATTTGCAGTAGACAGCAAATTTATTTAGCAAATTATGTATTTTTTTCTATTTAAAATCCATACTATGTTCACTGTATTAAGGTCCAGTGATGATGCCCCTGCTGGTCACTGTCAGGTCCTGGTTTTCTAACATGTACCCGGTCTCATGTTTGCCCCCCCCCCAGGGATCAGCCACGCGGCCCTGCACCAGAACCTGCCCCCGGGCTTCTCGGCGGCCATGCCCAGCCCCCTCCAGCCAGTTCTCCCCCTCCCCCAGGATCCCCCCACGCAACTGGTGGTGCTGCCCGGGGAGCCCGCCACGCACCACTTGGGTACGACCCAGCGCCGTGCCCCGGACGCGGCCAAGCAAGCTTACGGGAAGCTACTGCAGCAAATAACGAATGAGAAAAAACAGCCGGATACATGCGGCTGTAGCGAGCCACTGGGAAACAATAACAATCGCTCGTCATTCGGTTTGGTCAACAGTATCAATTTTTATGTGACTTGTCCTGGGGAAAGTTCTAGCAGCGGCTAACAAACCCACGCCACCTTCGTCACCTTTTCTTGTCACCATAATATTGTATTAAACAAAGTGGGTGTGTGACAAAGGTCTTGTGTGACCACAGTGTGTTTCTAAGCTAGAAAGCAACTTATGATTGGGCAGAGTGAGATTCCAAGAATTCTCCTTCATTGGCCTACTGAGAAGAGCTCTGCCCCCTGTGCTCTATGATCGGCCATCAGTAGTACACAGAACCACTTACAGCTGAATTAATCTGATTTGGAGCCTGTAGCCAGGGGAGTGTGGCACCCACGGAACTGCATGCTCACTGGGAGCCGACTGTGCAGCTGGCGCAGGCCTTGTCAAACCCCCTGCCCCTCCCCCAGTCAGAGATTGGCAAACGAGCTGTGAAATTTAATTAGCCCCCTGGTTTCCTGTGGGTAGGGTTAGGGTGGAGAGGGCCACATCCCCTGGTGAAACATTAGCAGGGCTGGGGTAAAGGGCCCCGTGTCATGGGGGTTAAGGGCCCCCGGGTCATTGGTGAAAAAAGGGCCCCGGGTGGGGTAAAGGGCCCCTGGTCGCTGGGGTAAAGGGCCCCAAGTCATCGGGGTAAAGGGCCCTGGGTCTCAGGGGTAAAGGGCCCCAAGTCATTGGGGTAAAGAGCCCCTGGTCGCTGGGGTAAAGGGCCCCAAGTCATCGGTATAAAGGGCCCTGGGTCTCAGGCGTAAAGGGCCTCAAGTCATTGGGGTAAAGGGCCCTGGGTCTCGGGGGTAAAAGGCCCCAAGTCATAGGGGTAAAGGGCCCCAAGTCATTGGGGTAAAGGGCCCTGGGTCTCAGGGGTAAAAGGCCCCAAGTCATAGGGGTAAAGGGCCCCAAGTCATAGGGGTAAAGGGCCCTGGGTCTCGTGGGTAAAGGTCTCTTTGTTACACTCCCTTAGTGTAAATAGCTGAAAGTGTAACATTATCATTAACCCCCCCCCCAAACCTTAGCCGACTGTGATATTGAGTAGGTCTCCAGTACTGGGCATCTGCTTTCGGGGGGGAGGGGGGCTGAGATTGGTCTCTTGACTGCGATTCACCAGGGTGGAGTGAAAGCAGTTCCACTCTGGCTAGCGGGGG